TCTCTCTCTCTCTCTCTCTCTCTCTCTCTCTCTCTCTCTCTCTCTCTCTCTCATTGGTGAGTGTCAAGTCGTAATTATATTTGCTCTCATTTTACACCTGAGATCTTACGCTCCGTTAACTTTTTTCCGAGGGAAACCAGTGGCGGGAGGTGCATGGTCAGTGTACGTATATATTTGATGTGAATTTAACCATAAATCTACGTGTACATGTCCACCGTATACCTTTTTCCGAAATCTCGCAAATTGCCACGTTGAGGTAACGGGCCAACGATACTTTTCGACAAGTACAACCAATGCGCAGGTCAGCGGTGCCACGTGACATCACTAGCCAATTAATTCGCACTATTTGGGCATCAGCACTACGCTCCTCGTGTGTATTGCGCATCACCTGCCAAGAAAGTCGGAAGCGTCTTCAAAATATGCACACCTAATGTCCAAACCTAAGTCAAAATCGAAGGTTTCAAGGCCTGGTGATGTTCTTATTAGCTCGATTTGTGACAAGTGCAAGAAGCCTGTCGTTGCTAAAGTAGAATGTAATATTTGTAAATTGACGTTTCATCCATCGTGCGCCGCTGCGTTCATTAAAGGTAAACCGTATACCTATTGTTGTGTGCGTGAACTCTCGTATTTACTTGTGACGCCATCGTCGATACCCAGCGTCGTAAATACGGGTGCATTCGTTTATGCAGTGGATAGCGCATCCACTGCTTTCTCATCTGCTAGTCACATGACCTTAATTTACTGAACGGACCTCTGCATGAATAGCTGCTTGTATCGTATTGGATTGTATCTTCCAATAGAAAGACGGCTACGCCTCCCCGAACCTAAGCTAGTCTATATACACCTCTCTGTCTACATTTTCCTAACCTCAACAGTCGTCAACTTTAATATCTCGGTTCGGAGGGCAGAGCGGCACTTTTTATTGCCAGATTCGTACGTTCATGCAAAAACGCGTCGAATGAGTGTATTTTTATCAAAATTTGAACTGAACGGGGTATTCTTTACCCAATTTTTACATAACATGGATATAGTATTAAATATTATTAACTGTGCGATGGAACTAATCGATAGCGATAATAGTTCGTCAGACTCTGACTTGTCGTCAGACAGTTCTGATGAAGAACTGCTATTATTACATGATACGGTATTCTTCAATTCATTTCTTAGTTTATTTAACATTTTAAATCATTATAAAAAATAATACATGTTTTATAAAGTTGTGTATATGTATATGTACATACATATAAAGTTTAAAAAAATATATATATATATTTTTTATTTTTTGTTTGCAGGAACGTATAAAAGTACTGAAGGTTGACAATTATTGCGATATAATTTGTCATATGCACGATAAAACATTCCAGTCTCATTTTCGCCTTACAAGAAGTTCTTTCGAAGTAAGTATATAAATTAGAAAGGTTATATTTTACAAGCAATGCATGGTACGATAGATTTTTCATTTTATTGAATAATACATTGTCTGATATTTTAAAGAATAACTCTAAGAAGATAAGTTTTGTATTTATGAAATTCATAAATCTACTTTATTTCAGATTGTAAGAGGAGCAATTGCACCTTTGTTTCAGCCTGTTAATAATGAAAGAGGTCATCCTAATGTATCATTGGAAAAAACAATATTATCAACATTATGGTTATTAGGAAATCAAGATTCTTTTCGAGAAGTTGGTAATCTATTCGATTTAAGTCCAAGTACTGCACATAAAATATTTCTTAATACATGAGGTGCTCTGTGTAATATTGCGAACGAATATCTACATTGGCCAAATCTTCAAGAGTTTCAAAACATAAGGAATTAATTTAACGAGCTCAGAAGACCGAATAGTTTTCCAGACGTGATATGTGCAGTTGATGGAATGCACATAGAAATTCCAGCTCCAAGAGATGATCCTATGAGTTATTATAACCGAAAAGGTTTCCATTCAATTATTTTACAAGGAATCTGCGATGCAAAATGTCAATTTATTGACATTTTTATTGGTTGGCCCGGTGCGACTCATGAAGCAAGAGTGTGGAGGGAAAGTCCTATTGGTCAAGCACTTACTGAAGATCCAACACTTTTACCGGAAGGAACTCATATTATAGGGGATTCTGCATATAGCTTACAGACTTATTTACTAACACCATTCCGTGATAATGGTCACTTGTCTCCAAGACAAAAGCTATATAATAAAAAATTAAGTTCAAAGAGAGTTGTCATTGAGCAAGGATTTGGAAGACTGAAAGTTAGATTTAGAAGATTAAAATTTTTAAATATGTCTCTAATGAATGAAATGAAAATAGTAGTTGTTGCTGCATGTGTTCTGCACAATATTTGCATCAGATATAATGATGAAACTGAATTAAGTGATAACGAACGTGAAGAGCTGGACGAGGGCCAAGATGAGGATGATCATATTTTGGAAACTGCTAATGATAAAAGAAATAGAATTGCAGATACTTTGTGGGCGAATAGAAGATAAAATGGAGTATAAATAAACAGTAAACATGAATTTTTAAATTAGTTTTTTAGCAAGAACGTGTGCCGTAACTGTTTTTTTTGTACTGTTGGCATACTTTAGGACGTAATAAATTCATAAAAATTGCCATGAAAATTACAAATGCAAATAAATTGTATGTTAATCTTACTTTTGCATGTATTTATTTCACTTTAGAACAGGTACTTTAGAAATAATGAGCAATACATCATATTAAATTAAAATTATATATAAGGTATATAATATATATTATATCTATTGAAATATATATTCAATATATAAAACGTAACAATTGTATTAACGATTATAATTTTCTCCTTAAAACTGGTTCTACATTAGTCGCAAGTTGATCGCAAGCATGCTGCAACGACCAATCTGAAGTGTCAATTTTTTAATTGATAATTTAAATTGATTGTTGCAACAAGCTTGCAATCAACTTCCGAATAATGTAGAACTTAACATAGCAAAATTAAAAAAATCTTTCAATATCGTAAGAACGTAATGAAATAGATATTTTTGATACATTTGCAATGTATGAAAAATATATATTTCATTAAATAATAAATCTGAAAATAAACAAGAACTTTACCTAAGGAGATCATACTTTGTGAAAAAAGTTTTTGATGTAGGAATATAAAGTACTATGAAACTTTTTAAGTGTATATGGTAGATTCTTAAATTAAATAGTATACTATAAGCTGCATGAAAATTTTTTAAATATTCAAAGCAGTTTATATTTCTACATCCTTAAAGCCTATAATACTAAAAATTAAAGTAAAAAATGTCCAAAAAGCTCGACAATTCTACTTATCATACTTCAAACAAAATACCCAGCAAATACCATGTTACATGTAACGTACACGTTAGTTGTAATTTCCCACTCAACAATATAACTATGTATAACATAACACACATGTTGTATTACAGTTATATTGTTGAATGGGAAATTACAACTAACGTGTACGTTACATGTAACTTGGTATTTGCTGGGTACTTAAATTCTTGTAGATTTGTCAGAAATACTATATGATTCACTCATTGTTTGTTGAGCAATTTTTTTGTACATCTTTTAAAAGAGTGGCAAGATTGTTTATTGCTTCTATTTTACTTTCTGTAATCTTTTTTTTATCCTCCCAAATCTTTTTTCTAAGTTTTAACGATTGTGATTTTCTTTCCTTGACAATTTGCAATATTTCTTCCTGAAATCGTAATTTTTTATCTTTCTTTGGCGATTTCATTTTTCTTTTTTGTGGAATGTTTTCTATAGCACCTGCATTTTCTTTACATGTGTCATCAAGTAATTTATCCTTTAGAATAAGTGTTTCCGGTTTGAATGTTGATCCCAGTGATGTTTCAGGGGATTTACACTTTTTTTTCCGCAAAAATTTCATGCATTTGTTGAAAATATTTCCAAGTAATGGCACTTTCACCTGTTTTTTTTAATTTACTTACATTTCGATTGTAAGTAACTAAGAGGTTTTTCCACTTGTTTATCAAATCTTGTATTTTTACTTTATAACCTTTATCTTCAAAAGCTTTCACAATTAAATTCCAATACGGTGCTTTTGGACTGTTTGGTTCTCGAATTTGTCGTTCATACTAAGACGTCGTTCAAGTAAAAGTTGTACTTCTGCTTCTGTCCAATTCTCTTTAGAGGCTTCTGAAATTAAATCATAAAAATCATTTTACTTATACAGCATATGAATATTTTGAAAATGCTAAAGTGACTCTCAGGAATAACTTAATAGATTATAAAACAGTAAAATAGAACATAATAGAAAATTAATTCTATTTTATTTATATATAATAGAAAATAATAAACAGATATTAATTTCCTTAATTATGTTTACCTTTGGATGAAGATGATGACGAAGGAGATAAAGATGCTTCTGTTTTGACAAATAATTTTTCGATATTGTCTACAGGACGTGAGTGTATGGATGATGATGGAACAATACTAAGTGGAGACTCAGAAGTTGTAATTGTATTCAAATCAACCAAATTAAAAGCTTGACGATTGATGGTATCTATAAATTAGGATGATTTTATATCAGCATAAAAAAAACAAATAGGCAGTAAAGAATGGACAATTATTAACACTTTAAAAAAAATAATGCACATCAATAATACATAATATTAGTATACTAGAAACTATAGGTCTGTTCTTTATTGTTGAACTTTTGCACTAGTTCATCTTTCTTCCTTTTCTTTCCAGGAGAAGGGAAAAGGAAAAAAGATGAACTGGTGCAAATGTTAAGCAATAAAGAACAAACCTTATATTAGATTTTTATACAAAATATAATTTCTACTTTTATTATTAATATTATACATTTATTACGAGATTAACATTAAATTCTGTTGTTTATGTCTATTATACATACCTGGTGAAGTTGTTTTTGATGTTAAAAATATCGGAGAAGGTGCATGTTGTGTCTGTACAAAATTTTGTGGAACTAATGAAGATGGGATCAAAACGGTCTTATATTGAAAGTTTTTTGATCCCTTTTCCACTGATGTAGACGAACTCATTTCAGGCACAATTGCAGGAAAATCTGTACCTAGGATAAATTTACCAAAATTAATTTATCAAAACATTACAAAATTTCCTCTGTCCCCGATTTTGGCGAATATGGTGATGCAAGATTTGAAGGAGAATGTAGGAAGATTGTTGAACATGTCTTTGTATTACAGATACGTTGATGATATATTGATCATGGCAAAAGAAGAAGAAGTAGATAAGATTTTTGATGTTTTCAACAGTTATCATTACCGGTTAAAATTTACTATTGAGTTTGAAAATAATAGAAGTATTAATTTTTTAGACTTATCCTTGATTGTGGTGGATAATAGGTTGACTATAGACTGGTTTCACAAAAATACGTTCTCAGGCCGTTATCTTTCTTTTTATTCAAACCATCCAAATTGCATGAAAAGAGGAATAGTTTATGGATTGGTTGATAGAGCGATTTTATTATCCCATCCGCCCTTCTTTAATAAAAATATTTGTTTATGCATAGATATGTTAATTGAGAATGGTTATCCGTTGGATTACATTTTCAATAATATTAATGTAAGGATAAAAAGCTCGATTGAAAGATATAAGGTAGCTTCAGATGGTGGTGAGGTCTCTCTCAATAATAATAAAAACTTAGAAAATAAGATTAAGAAGCATTTAGTTATTCCTTTTATTAAAGGTATTTCTGGAAGAGTGGGAGGTATTTTTGATAAATCTGATACTTTGATGGGCTATCGTACACTAAATGGTTTGGACAAGTTTATTAAAGTTCAGAAAGACATTACCAGTAAGAATTGTAAGAGTCATGTGGTTTACAAAATTAATTGCAAAGACTGTGATTCGACATATGTGGGTCAAACAAAAAGACAACTACAAACTAGAATAAAAGAGCACAAAAATAACTTAAGAATGGATTCGTCTAAGCACTCAGTAATTTCTCAGCACATTATGGAATATGATCATAGGTTTGATTGGGAAAATATTGATATCATGGATGTGGAACACAATTATAAAAGAAGATTGATCTCAGAGATGTTACACATTAAAGAACAACCAAAAGGACTAAATTATATGAGAGATACTGAGTTATTAAGCGAATCTTATACCTCTATTTTAAATGAGATTTCGACACTGAAATATTCTAGATTTTAAGAAATTATTGTTATCCAATTGGAACTATAGGTTCTCATGTACAAATTTTGATGTTATCCACTTAGACTTCGTTTCATTCCGTTATTGACATCCAATTACATTAATGTTTGGTCTTTTGAATCGTTGTTTGACTTTCATATGTTACAGCGTCATTACGTTAATATCGCTGGTGGTTTCAACATGTTATTTCTTCTTTTTTAATTTGGAAAGTTATTTTAATGATTGACAATGTGAGTTATTTTACGGTTTAACAATAGTAAATCTAGATTAAATATGACTAAATTGTATTCTTAATTATATATTTAGATTGTTGACATAATTGAATTTTCGCATTTCAACGATCAAATTCTTTTCTGGAATTCAATATGACCTACTGGATGGAGGAGACTGTATTTGAATTGAAAGAAGAATAACATCTAATGAAGGTTAAAATCAAGAATTTATTAAAAAATTATACCGATATATAGTTTCCATCAAAAAATAACGATTATATATTATGGTTCTACACTGATGAAGGCTCTGTGAAGCTGAAACGTTTGTTATTGGAATTTTTATCGATGTATCATACAATGTTATTTTAGAGATTATATTAATTTTTGATCTTTTGATTGTATAATTGTTTATGATTAATTACAACTTATAATTGCTCGTAACGGTCGTTATCTATTATTTTGTTTATTACAAAATTTGTTCATAAAAATATATAATTCATATGTGTGTTTTGAGATTTCCAATCTACATTCAAATGGTAATTCTACAATGTGCTCTTTGTTTCCTGTTTTTTGCTGTTTGTCTCTTGATCACTTTTGCCTTTTTGACCAAAAGGCAAAAGACAAACAGCAAGAAACAAGAAACAAAGAGCACATTGTAGAATTACCAAAAAGTATGCATTTTTAGGTTAATTTGATCACAAATATGAATTAGCAAACTTTACAATTTATTTATCATTGATATATGTTACTTTTTATTATTTTAACTTTATTAGGATCGATTTCGATAAGTTCTTCACCCTCTGAATTTTTTATTATTTTAATAAAATTCATTTTATTTTTTAGAAATACAGCATGAAAGCAATCTTAACTGGCGATATCAATGGCGAACAGATATCCAAATTCCAACCTGATCCAACCTGCGAAGGCGACTACAACGCAGCTTGTCGTTCGTTTACGCAGTACTGCGAGCAGAGCATCCTGAGCAGGACCTCCGAGATAGCTGCGCAGATGGTATACATCCCTGCGTAAACGAACGACAAACTGCGCTGCAGTCGTCTTCGCAGGTGGAATAAACGAACGACATCTGCGGCAGTGACTGCATAAAC